GCAGCTGGTGCTGCCAAGCAGATAAAAGGTCCTTTTTGGTGACCAGTGTGGAGCGGCTTTGTGCCACCTGAAGCAGCCACGCGAGCGCTGATGGGAAGCCATGGTGGGGGGGACGTGGTGGGGGACAGTGCTGAGCCCCTGGGCCGGTGATCCCACAGTGCAGGGGTTCACCCTTCGCCCTTCTCCCCCAGTCCTGTGCGCTGAGCGGGCGGTCAGGATCACAAAGACCTACCACGACATCGATGCTGTCACCAACCTGCTGGACGAGGTACGTCGGTGCCCACCCCACACATGGACTTGGGCTGGGGGCTGGTGGGACCCCAGGGATGCTGGGGCAGAGCAGGGGATGGGCCCTGGCCCCAGCTGCTGCAGACCTGCCCCTTGCAGAAGGAGCGGGACCTGGAGCTGGCAGCACGCATCGGGCAGTCCCTGCTGAAGCAGAACCGGAGCCTGACCGAGCGCAACGAGCTCCTGGAGGAGCAGCTGGAGTTGGCCAAAGAGGAGGTAACAGCCCCAGGGTACAGGGACTTGGCTTTGGCCCCCGTGTCCCCGGCCTGGGGGCCATGGGTGGCCGTGCTTCCCTTGACCATGCCCTGATGCCCCTTTCCCCTTGCAGATCGCGCAGCTGCGCCACGAGGTCTCCATGCGGGACGACCTGCTCCACTTCTACACCACCACAACGGAGGAGAGCGAGCCCACCTCTGCCACCTCCACGCCGTGAGTGGGGGGTCCCTGTCTCACCACTTGCCCAGGGACAGGATGGCTTCTGGGGGGCTGGGCAGAGGCGTTGGGCTGTAGCCATCGCCCTCCCTGGGGTAGCGCCGGGGCTGGTGCTCCTTTCCCTCACATGGCTTCCATGGGTCCAGCCCCATGGAGCTGGGTTGCTGTTGGGGGGGAGTGGGCAGGGGGCTGGGTGGGCAGCCCCATCCTGCCCACACTGCAGGTGCTCAGCGCCCTCCCTGCTGTCCCCAGGCTGCGCCGGCAGGAGTCCTCGCTGTCCCTGCAGCAGTACTTCCAGTATGACACCTTGCAGCAGAAACTCAAGTGCCTGGAGGAGGAGAACCAAAAGCTTCGCATGGAGGTGAGCGGGGATGGCTGGCGGGACGCCCCTCTCTGTGCCTGCCCCTGCCCCGCTCGCTGCCGGGGGGCCTGAGCTGGCCCCCAGGGAGGCTGGAGGTCCCGCCTGTTGCGCTCAGCTCCTCCAACCCTCTCCCCCAGGCCACCAGCATCGCGACCGAGACCTGTCAGTACGAGGACCAGGAGCAGCAGCTGATGATCGACTGCGTGGAGCAGTTCTGTACGTGGGGCTGGGGCTCACGAGGGGGCAGCGCCTCTCTGGGCTTGGGCTGGGGGTCTGCAGGCGCTGACCCACGTCACTGTGCGGGCTGGGGGGCCGTGCCCTGGCAGTGACGGACCCTGGGCCCTCCCCAGCCGAAGCAAGCCGGCAGGTTGTTTACCTCTCCGACGAGCTGGCCCGCAAGGCGGAGGACACGGCACGGCAGCAGGAGGCGATAAGCCAGCTCCTGGCACAGGTCG